TAATTATTTTATATAATTATTATTAAAAATTATTTATATTAAACTTTTTAAAGTTTTATATTTTAAAATTCTATTAAGTTCTTTTTTTTCTTATTTTTAAGTTAAAATATATAATTAATTTATAAATAAAATATATATTTTTTCTTATAATAAAAGTTTTTGATTTTATTAATAAATATTTTTTATTTTTAACTTAAAAAATAACTAAAATTTAATATATATTTTTTTCAGATTTTTTATTAATAACTTATTTAATTATATATAAAATCAATTAATTTTTACTAATAATTTTAATTAAATTTTTTATATATAGATGATTATTTATATATTTAATTAATTAGATTTAATATATTATTATATAAATAATTATTATATAATAATAATTAAAAATAATATAATACTTAAATTTTTTACTAATTATAATTAATAAAAAATTTAAGTATATATTATTTTTAATTGTTATTATATATACTCCTATTATAATAAGATTTTTAGTTATATTTTAATTAATATTCTCTTTGTATTTTTATTTATATTATTTTTTATTATATTATTATTTATTAAATTATAATTAGTTACCCTTTAAAAATATAAATTAAGTTAATTAATTTATTTAATTATATATATTTTAATTATAGAATTATTATTAATTTATTCACTTTCATAATTATTTCTATTTATTATAAATATATTCTTTCTATTTTGTAAAATAATAAATATTATTCAAATAATAAAATTATAAGTTTATAAATTAAAACTATTTGTATTATATTTTATCTTGTTTACAACTATTAATAAAAAAATCTTATATTATTAATTAATTAATTCTATATATAATTAGAAGTTACTAGTAAAAAATCTGAAAAATCTAAAAAAATATATTAAACTAGAGAATTTTAGTTATTTTCTGAACTAAAAATAAAAAATATTTTTTAATAAAATTAAAACTTTTATATATAAGAAAAAATATATATTTTACTAATTATAATTAATAAAAAATTTAAGTATTATATTATTTTTGATTATTACTATAATTTATATATTCAAAAAAAATATATAAAAGAATTTTTTCTCAAATTAAAATAAATAGTTTTAATTAAATTATATAAAAAATACAATTAAAAAGTTTATTATTATAATAATATTAATCTTTTGATTTCTTTTTTAATTATATTTATACTCTTTCTTTTACTTAGTTTTATTTTTTTTAATTATAATATTATATTAATTTTGATTTGAATTTTTGATTTTGATATTTATATATTTTATTTAATATTTTTAATTTATTATATTCTTATAATTTTAATTTTTAATTAATTAATTTAATTTATATTTTAATTAATATTAATTATCTTATATTCTAATTTAGTTTTTTTTAATTAATAATAATTTTACTTATTAATTATTATAAAGTTTTTGATTTATTTATATTTTTCTTAAATATTAATATAAATCTTAAAAATTTTTATTAATATTTATATTTTTTTTATTTAATTAGTTTAATTATTTCTTTTCTAATTTTATATTTTTTATAATAATTCTTAGTAAAATTTACTATTTAAAATCATTATAATAATAGATTTATATTATTAATTAATTATATTTTAATATAAATTATTTAAAATTAATAATAAAAAATTAATAAATAAAGAATTTAAAAATAAATAATAATAATTATATATATATATATATTAATAATTCTTAAAATTAAATTAAATAAAATAAAAGAATAATTTTTTAAAAATAATAATATTAATAATATAAGAAAAAAATTTAAAATAAATTTTAATAATATTATAAATAATTAAATGAAATTTTAATATCTTTTTTAATAATAAATAAATATTTAAATAAAAATATTTCTAATTATTAATAATAAATTTTATATATATCTTTGAAAAAAAATTTTATTATAAAAATTTTAATATAATAAAAATATATTTTAATATTAATTAATTAATAATATTATAGATTAAAAAATAAGAATAGAAAGATAAAAAGTTAAATTAAATAATTTATATAAAATAAATTTATTAAAATAGTTTAAGATTTTTGTATAAAATTTTATAAAAATTATATAATTATATTTAAAAAATAAATTATTAAAATAAATTATATAATTATTTTAAAATAATAATAAGAATTTATAATAAAATAATAAAATTTAATATTAAATAATAAAATAGTCAAAATAAAAATTTTAATATTAAAATAATAAAATTAATATCAAATAATTTAAAAATAATTCAATAACTTATTGATAAGTAGTAAAGTCTTAATTTATTAATCAAATAAGAAATAAAACTATTAATTTTATTTGATATAGAAATAAGAATAAATTATAATAAGATATATAATTCTTATTAAATATAATAAGAATTATTATTTAGTAATAAATTCTTAAAAATTTATTTATATAACTTATAGCTTTATAAATAAAAAAAGTTGAATTTTATATTTAAAAAATATATATTAAAAATTTATTCTTTTATTAATTTCAAGAAATTTATTAAATAATCTGTTATTAAATTTATTAAATAATCTGTTATTAAATTTATTAAATTTAAAATATATATTAAATAAAATATCTTCTTATTCTTTTCTTATTAAATTATATTATTAATTATTCTTAAATATTTCTTATTCTTTTTCTTAATTATTATTTAGAAATTTTTTATTAGAATAAATTAAAATAATTAATTAAAAATCTTTGAAATTTATAATAAAATATTTTCATATTTATAATATAATATTTAAATTATTATCTTGCTGAAAAGCTCTAATATTTCTAAATATATTTTTAAAAAGATAGTTATTTAAAATCTGATAATAAAGTTTCCTGTTTATATTTTAAGTAAATATATAAAATCTGATTGTTTCATATATGTAAAATATATTTTATATATAAATTTTTACTAGATATTTTGGCATTCTCTTCTGTAAAATTTATAAATACTTTTATATATTTTGAAATATTTGAAAAGTAATTTTATTTGAAAATTCCACATTTTTTCAGTTTTGTCTAATATAAATAATTGTCCAATCAACATGATATTGATATTTTTTCTGAAAATAAAGTTTTTGATATTTTTGAATAACATTTCAAATTTAATGATTAACTGTTTGTGCTGAAATTTAATCTTAAAATTAAGTTTTTTATAATTTCATCACAGATAAGATATCTATCATTTTGAATAATTCTTCTCAATACACTTCAATCTTGAGATGGGATATCCAGGATGAGTAATAGATTCAAGTTTATTGTTTTCTTTTAGTTGAGCAACATATTTATATGCCGTAGAAAGGGAACACTATTTAGTTTTGCTAAAGTTGACATATCATAGACATCACACTGCCAAAGCTCATTGATGATTGTATATCAGTTAACAGGTGAGGTTTTTCCATTTTATAATAAAAAAAGAGAAACTAAACAATATGTGTGTATTTTTTTTTATGTAGCATTGATTAACAAACCTGCATAAAAGTTTGGTGCCACATACTGGACGTGGACATGTTTTCTATTAGATTCTCGTTATGCATGTACATACAAGTATATGGCGAGGAACTGTAAGAGTTAAAATAATTTTTATTGGTTGATTTTCTTCAAATCACACATTGCCTGTTTCTCCGGCGTTTGAGGGTATCCTATATAAACAGTTTTTGTCATAACAACTACTGTGAATAAGCACTTCCTTGAAATAAGAACACCGGCCCGCATTATAACCATTTTGACCAGCAATGTTAATTTGGCTAACCCCCCCCCGTTGCAAAAAAAGGATGCTTATTCACCGAATTTTACGGTATCTAAATTACAAATCGTTTGCTAAGGTTCGCGAGTTATTAAGGTAAAAAAATTTTTAGTAAGAATTTTCACAAAAGAATATCTATTATAAAAAAAATTAATGTAATGAATTTTAATGTAACGATTGTATTGAGAGAAAGAAAAAAAATTATTATATACGATCAGAAAAATGAATTTTTTTTTGTAATAATAATTTAATTATAATCACGAAATAATGGGATAACGCACAAAGAATTTTGATAAAAATCTTTTAAAGATAATCTAATTTTAGTAGAAATTTTCTTACTTTCGAAAAGCGGCGTTAATTTTGATACTAAGAAGTAGGAATTTCTGGGTTCTACGTGTAAGTGTTACGGGACAAATGATACATTATTAATAGGAGTAGAAACGTCGTATCATTCCAGAATATTCCTTAATCACGTGACTTTTCATTGCTACGGCAAAATTACTAAATCTTGAGATAACGCGTATGTATATTTTATACATACAAGTTGATGTGGTGTGGATATGTATTTGTTTTATGTCTCCACCACCTTATCGTTTATATGACTCAAAATTGATTAATATTAAACTTTAGACAATTATTATATAAAGGATTTTATTTTTTTAAAAAACATATTTAATAATTATTTATCCCTCCACTTATAGCAATCGTTCAATCGTACACTACACGAACAAACATTAAACCAGTTATGTATGAAAAAAATTCTATCAACATAGAATTATTAAATATATATAACTATAAGAATACAGATAATATACATATGTACGTAATTAATAACATATAATAATAAGTTTGGCATTGGCACTTGACCACGGCAAACCGACCAAACTCGCACAAATGGCCAAGTGACAACACTCTATTAATATATATATAATTATATAACGATTATGATGATGATGATGATGATGAAGAATATAAATGATGAAAATGTTTAAATATACAATAATAAAGCCAAACCTCTTTATATAAAAATAAAGATGTCTAATATAAGAATGCTTATAGAGGTTGGCTATATATATATATATATATATTAAAAAAATTATAAATTTTTAGAGATAAGAAATATAATATTATAAATTGTTAGAGATCAATAAATATAATATTATTTGATATTGTCTGTTTGAATTTGCTGGTTATTGTTTCGGGCGAAACTAGTTTCAAATTGGAATTTCGTGACTTATAGGAAGAACTAGTTTATCCCGGAATACTATTTCCAACTCGGTTAATTCGTGTTAATTCTAAAACGCTTTATATTCATTGTCCGAGATACATTCTCCAAATCCATAACTTTTACCAAATTTCGCTTGTGCTTGTGTGTGATCAAGCTTTGACAATTTTAAATACAACTGAAATTTTTGCTCATCCACAAATGTCTCATATCCTTGTTCATACAATGCTCTTAACTTATATGATGCATTGGCGTTTCCGGATTCTGCTGATTTCAAATACCACTCAAATGCTTTTTCCTGATTTTTCATAGTGCCTTCTCCATAGGCATAACAATTAGCAACAGAATATTGTGCTTCTGAATGTCCGTTTTCTGCCAAGGTTAAATAACACTTAAAAGCTTCTTCTTTATTTATCGATGTGCCAATACCTGAATAACAACAATGAGCGAATTTATATTGAGCATCAATATTCCCAGAATTCGCGGATTTAAGATACCATTCAAAAGCTTGTTTCTCGTTTTTCTCTATACCGGATCCGTTTTCATAACATTGAGCAACAGAATATTGTGCTTCTGAATGTCCGTTTTCTGCTAAGATTAAGTAACACTTAAAAGCTTTTTCTTTATTTACTAATGTTCCTATGCCTGAATAACAACAGTGAGCAAATTTATATTGAGCATCAATATTCCCAGAATTCGCGGATTTATGATACCATTCAAAAGCTTGTTTCTCGTTTTTCTCTATACCGATTCCATTTTCATAACATTGAGCAACATGATATTGCGCTCTATGACTTCCATATTCAGTTGCAACAACATACAAAGAATAGGCTTTTTCTTTGTTTATCGGAGTACCTATTCCCAATTCATAACAATGACCGAGTTCAACCTGCGCATCGCTAATTCCAAAATCCGCCACTTTCAAAAGTCCCTCAAGCGCTTTTCTCTCATCCTTTATTATCCCCCTTCCATATTTATAACACAATGCCACTTTATATCGGGAATAGACATAATTCTGTTCTGCAGACTTTAAATACCACTCAAATGCTTTCACCAAATTTTGATCAGTTCCCTTCCCCTCTTCATAGCATAATCCTAGATTGTATTGAGCGATAGCATTATCATAATACGATAAATTCAAATAGATCTCAAATGCTTTGATATCATGTCGCATATTTATTAGATCAAAGTTGCAATATTGACTGAGCTTTAATCGTGCGTTGGTATTCCCCGAGTCACCTGACCTTATAAGCCACTCTAATGATTTCTCTTTATCTATTTCAGTTCCTCTCCCACATTTATAGAATAGCGAAACATTATATTGCGCATTGGCATTTCCTGTTTTTGCTGATTTCAAATACCATGTAAATGCTCCAAAATCATTTTTTTCTGTTCCTTTTCCCTGCTCATAACATAAACCAATATTATATTGCGCTAGGCCATTTCCGGACTCTGCCGATTTCAAATACCATGCAAATGCTTTAGTATCATCTTTGAACATGTAAGCGTCATTCTGATATAATTTTCCAAGAAGTAATTGCGCAGTCATATCTCCGTGGTCTGCTGAAAATGAATATAGTTGAAAAGCTTTTTCAAAATTTTCATTCACTCTGATTCCATAATGATAAAAAAACCCTAAAAGTGTTTTGTGCTCAATGTTTTGTATATCTTCTCGTAGAAGAACGTCAAAATTCGACGAGTCGTGAATATTTTCAGTAAATTGTCTTAATTCTTCGGCAGTTTTATTCAAATCATCCCACGAATAAAGACATTGACGAAAGCGCACGAGTAGTTCTTCTATCAGATCCAAATTTTTTATTTTCTTGATGGGTGGCGGTTGTTCTGATGTATTTTGTTTTCGCTTGTCACTGTAAGCTTCGTACATGTTTTTTAGGAGTAAAATCAAGAGGATAAAAGTGGGAAACCATTAACATTGAAAAAAACTCGAGATGTTTATGCCCTTCCATGTGCGTAGGACACATTGACCTTCTGACTAACACAAAAATAAATGTACCACATTTGGGGAAGAACTCGGATCTCGCTTCCAGTATTTGTATGTCAATTTTGTATTACATGTACATATAAAATTCATTTACGCTTTACATGTACACCACTTATGAAACATATTTGTTGTGTTAATTTCAAAGATCGACTGTCATATCGATTTGTACATGTATGCTTTTATCAAAATGTTACATTTGTTCGAATTCAAAAACTTTTAAATGAGCCTAGACCCATAAAAATCTAAACATTATTCTCAAAGTTAATGAAATCATGCTTTCATGCCAACCAAGCGCTTCGAAAGAGGTACTTTGTGAAACTCGAAGAAACGTTACTTTTTCTGTGAACCGACCTGGTAAAAAAAGTTGAACACGAATTATACAATTTAACATACTGAAGTTTTATCGTCTCAAGGATTTATCAAAAACCTTTTACCAAACTTAAGAAATTATTATTGTCAGGTATGCAATATACATGTAATAAGGCAAATATTCTTTTAATTTGGTCTAATTAAATATAAATGTAAAGTCGTACCTCTCTATAGTATAAGAACAACCTCTTTATAAAAGGTTTTGAGAACCAAGTTAGTATATATACATGTACATGTATACTAAAAAAAAACACCTTTTCATAAGAACAAACTCTCAATAGGAACCGGATTTTCTGGCCCGACTGTGTTCTTATAGAGAGGTGCGACTGTATATTGCATGTAACGGTAAATGAAAGAATATAAACGCATGCATACATGTTACTGTAAATGGAAATTAAAAAAAAATTACGTAACTGCTGAACTACGTATTTCAATAATGAATAAAACACATGTATTGTGAGTTGTCATGAGTAGATGTACATGTATCAACCGCTCATTGACATTTATCCAATTTAAATTAACTTAGGTGAGTGAACCTCCATTAAGGTACATACTACATGTACGTTCACATCCTGGTTCAGTTCAAGCTCTAAAAATTTATTCTCCAAAAGTGCACACTCATGTCTAATTATAAACATGCTAAATGGGTATTTTTACCTCGTCAGTAACATACTGAATAAACATAACTTCATCATTTTTCCTCGATACGATACTAACAATCTTTCCGATAGTGTAAGAATGCGCTTATGAACTTTTAACTAATAGAAATGAAAGATTAAGTTGTACATGTATATGGAATCATAACACAACGAAAATATTATTGAATAATAATTGAAGTAAAAGTATAGTCAAATGATATTTATCATGACTTTTATGGCATGGCATTATACGAGTTTGAAGTTAAAAATTTTAACATCTACAATAAGCTGAAGAGGTAATCATCATTAAAATGATAATTACTATATTATATTCATTTTTGTGTTAACTATATACAACAAATAACTTTGCATAGAAAGATTTAAAAAGATAAGTTACAATTCTCAGATATTAACGCATATTATTGACTGATTGTATTTTTTAAAAATATGAAATTGAAATAAGAAACTTAAAGCAAGAAAATAACATTAAACTTTTATTATTAATTATTTTATAACTCAAATACTATTATTTTTGATAGCCTTAACAACTTCAGAATACATATATTCAGTTCAATATATAAAATTATTGAACTACATGTATGTATCAATAAAATCTTGTTCAATTTGACACAAAAAAATATTTGAAACAATTCTGAATTTGAACTCTAACCTTTTATGATTTTCCGAGAATTAATTCATGCACATGTATTACGTGTTTGAATTTGTCCAATCAGCGATGAGATTTCTCGTTGTCTATCAGTACTTTGGGGAAATTAGTGCATGTAAATGTACATGTCACCAAAAAACGTCTTCTTCATCTATGCAGCAAAAGCATTTGTGAATTTAGAAAATAATTGCATGATGCAATTATTCTTTAACTTGATATTGAGTTCAGATAATGTGTTTTTATCCGTCACACGATATTAACAAACTTAAAACCATAACATTAATAGTGCAATTTACTCGAACTGTTTACTATTCTTGGCATAGTCGTTGCGCACCCGGTTGTTGAGATAAGACAAATGAAGAGTTAGGGTCAATGTCAGTTTAGGTGTCAGTAATAGATTTAGGGTTTGATTTAGACGCTTGTTGAAAAAGATAGCTTTGTGAATTTCAAAATAGAATAGATTTAAATCGATGGGTGAGCTTAAATATAATTATTTCTTTTTTCTATAATTAAAAATACAATTGTTTATTAAAAAGTTACCCATGCTAAAAATACATACTTCGAAATCTCCTTGTTTCAATTTTCATAAAAGTATTATACGTGTCATTATCGGTGAAGAAAGCCGCAACTCCTGCAATTGTGTGATACTTATTCGTCAGCGGTATTTTGCATGTACATGTACTAAGTCGTAACTAGCCGCAAATATGTGACACTTATTGTCATTTATTCAGGGACAGTAATTATACATAACGCAAAGTAAAACACATAATGTGTACAAAAAAACAAGCTACTTTACACATATATAGCAATATCAGATGTAATTACTATTATAGTTATAAGTATAAAATATATTCTTTTAAATAGTTTATAAATACAACTATTATGTCATATTTAAGCTTAATGATTAACAATTAGACTATGAAAATTAAATTGATATATTTCTACCTATATCGTAAAATGGTAAGTAAATAAAATAATTTAGAAAGTTATTAATTACTACTTTTGTTATATTGACAAGAATCAAATTGATAATATATTTGTGAATATTTTTACTCATCTTTGACTAGTAGAACTATTAAGATATGATAGTATATATCTTGTCTATTCTAATATATCTAGTAATTAATATATTATAAAACTCAAATAAAATTTTATTTTTAATATTTTATCATCTGAAATAATTATGTAATTGATATTCTATAAATAAAATAAGTCTTCTTTTAATTTAAAGTATTTTATTTTTGCTTATTACTTTGATATTATACTATAATACTTCAAATATATTTTTGCAAAATATCTATCTTCTTTATATCTCTTAATTAACTCTTTTTTATTAATAAAATTAGTGATAATAATTATAATATTAACCAGGCATAGTTGATAAGAGAATGTATTTATGATAATATTATTTTTATTAGATTTATATTTTATTTCAAAGTTACTTGCTTATAGAATTTCTAATTAGCAATCTTATCTCTTGAAAAGATTATATTATATCTTGATATATTCAAAAAAAATATAATTTATGATTATTATAAACATTTGATCTTTTAAATATAATTTTAGAGTCTAATAGTATATATTATTACAAGTAATTCTTTCTTATAAACTGGATAGTTTTGTTCTGCTAGCAATAATTTTCTTAATTCAAAAGTTATAGATTAATTATTCTTATTTTGATTTTAATTTAATATAGTTTTAATAACAAACTCAGAAGTATTTGTAATAATTATAAATAATAGTTTAGAGTCAGATAATAATAAAACTAATACTAAAATGAGATATTATTTTAAATTTTTAAAAGCTTATTATACTTATATAAATTATTCATACTCTTTATCTTTATATAAAAGTATTATAAGTAATGATATTATAATTAAGAACTCTTTAACAAACTTTCTGTAATAGCTTATAAGTTCTAGAAAAAAGTAAAGTTCTAATATATTTATTAATATAAATTAATTTCTTATAATAATAATTTTTCTTTGATTAACTAAAATATTATTTATTAAGATGAAATATTCAAGATATTATTAAAAAATATTATATTTCTTTTACTTAACTTATAATTTATATTTATAAAGTATATCAAGTACTATCTGAAAATATTAAATATATTTTTTCTTTATTTTATTATAAATTAAGATATTTATTTAAGTATATAATTACAAATTTATCTAGATAATTATAAAAGTAATAGATATATTAATAAGATTAAATAGTAAATTAAGTATTTATAATAATTATAATGAGTTTTGAAAATAGATTTGTATATATTTTCTTAGCTATATGAATTTAATATTATTCTGAATATAAATTTAACTTTGAAAAATATTTTGAATCTGTAAGTCTATCTATAAGCTTATTAACTTTGATAAAAAATAGTAATTCTTAATTATAATTTTATTTAAAGCTTTATAATCAATATATAATCTCAGTATTTCTTTCTTCTTATATATAAATAAAACTAATATTCTAAAAGATAAGATATTAAAATAAATAAAATCTTTTTAAATAAAATCAACTAATTGCATTTTGAACTTATCTATTTATGCAAAAAAAAATCTATATATTAATTTGAATAATAAGTCAAAATTAGAAATAAGATCAATTTTATAATTCAATTACTTTTTTAAATAATAATTAATTTAATAAGATTTCTAAAAATATATTGTATTTTTTCTTTATTTTTAATATTTTGAATATTAATAATTTTTTTTAATTTCTTTATTTTTTCAGTATTATTAAGATATATTATAAAAAATTCTATATTTATTAACAGATTTATAATTTATTATCTTGAAATATAAATTAAATTATAATTAAATTCTATTTTAATTTTGTTATCTACTTAAATTTTGATAATTTTTAATCTATAGATGAAGATAATATTATTATTTTTTTAATTTATAATAGAATTAATATAAAATAATCAAGATTTTTTAAAATTAAATTATATCTTTGTAATTTTAAAACTTGTCTATTTATTTTATATATATAATATATAATTAATTTCAATTTATTAATTTTAATTATAATAGTGATTATAATCTTTTATTATCTGTAAGTTTAATTATAACTAAATTTATTTTCTGAATTTTTACTTTATTCTTTTATATAAACTTTTATTTATAAAGTTTCTTAAAACTTTGCAATATTTAAACTAACTTATTATTTACTTAATTATTTAATTTCTCATAATTATCTTT